CTAAGACTTCTTCTAGTCTGATGTTGACAAGCAAATACCAGGTACATCCAACCAGGCCATTAATACCTGGCGGGCTTTAGGTAAATGGATGACAGCATGACATACCTGGCGTGCTTAAGCTAGTGAATGATATCATGACATACATGTCGGGTTTAAGCAAGTGGGTGACAGAATGTGGTCTGGGGAGGTGGCAGAGGGACGACACTTATTGAGAGAGCTACAAGGGATAGGAAGATGTGGAGAGCCATGATCACCTACGTCTTGAGGGAACATGGTATATAAAAAGAAGTTGCTAAATCAGATAAACAAATGGGTTCACTTGTCGTTTTTGTGAAATGCATCCACGTCTTCTTTTCAGTTTGCAGTTGACCTAATACCAGTTGACCTAATATCAGTTGACCTAATATCAGTTGACCTAATACCAAGAAAGAAGCGTCTTTAGATGGGCGTGGTTAGGGTCTCTAGAAGTTTTGCCTAGGAGCTCGGGGAGTGGCAACAAGAGAAAAGTTGAGGAAAAAATGACCTAGACAATGTTACCTTACTGTACCTCCCAATTCCTGTTCTGCTCTCCATTTGTACAAGTTCGTTTGGTAGGTGATCATGACTCTCCATAACTTCCTATCATTTCACAGAGAACCTGGGAAATTCTTTGATGGCTGCATGGTGACTCTATGGACCTAGACGAACCATTATTTTGCCAGAAAATACTAGAACATTTTCCATCATCCTTGCAGAAGCAGAAACATAACACTTTCTTCTTCTTCTTCTTCTTCTGCTTCTTCTTCTCCTCCTCCTCCTCCTTCTTCTACGTCTCCTCCTCCTACTTCTTCTGCTTCTCCTCCTCCTCCTTCTGCTTCTCCTCCTCCTCCTTCTTCTTCATGTGCCGGATCCCTTCAGGACGTAATTTCACGCAAGACAGTGGCGAAAAAAATCTATGGTTTTCATAAAAATATAATTAAAAAAAACGAACCACTCAGGGTAGAGTATAGCTGGCCAATCCCTATTGCAGACGCTTGCTCAGGAGTATTTGTGCATATTCAACGCCAACAGACCCCCATCTGTGGTTTATACTGCAAGCATATTGAGCAGACCTTAGTTACAGTTTCTGGGAAAGAGCGTGTTATCCGCCATGTCCGATGACATCAGGAAGTCTCCTGTCTGACAAATCGACCATGAGTTAGATTCGAACTCGGATCTCATGGTCAGAATGCGAACGTTCTAACCACACGGTCAAATATCCATCAACATTGTAAATGCTATAGTGAATGAAATCTGTGATATGAAAAAAAGAAGTAGGTGGTAGGTTGATTAGATTATGAGGATAAGAAGAACAAATACCAATTGATAACTTGAAGAGGTTTTGAGATTTTGTAAGAAGAATCCATGTGGGAGTAACAGCTGAAATTTCATCTACATTTGAAAGCCACGGAAAAAATAAGGGTTGACGTGAAGAAAGCTTTTTTTTTGAAAGGGTTAACAATCTCTTCCCCATTTTGACAGACTTTATGTAAACAACAATAGCATAATTAATTTTGAACAGAGATTTTAAAACTGGTGCGTCACGATGTTTTAGTGTCATTAATTATTGGTTTTGCCTTTAAACATTATCTACATTTTTATATGGAATTACTTCTTTTATATGCTTTTTGGATTATATATTTGGTTTGGATAACAAAACTGAAGTTATACGTCGTAAAATAACATTTTAAAATTTGTGCCGACAACGCAGATTTTTTTGTTTTTTTAAAAAAAGTTGTCTTCAAGAATATAAGTCTGATTTTGTTTTCTTAATTTAGCGCGCGCGCACACACATACACACACACACATGAACACACCTATATAATTGTATTGTTTAAAAATTACTATATTTATGGGAGAAGATTGTTGAAAATCGGAGACAGACGATCACCGTAGGCGTAAATTTTAATAATATCGCTTAATACTAAAAAGCAGATCGGCGACAAAATCGCAATTAAAAAGTAAAACAACATTTATTCACTTACAACTATTTAGACAAATTCATATATATATATATATATATATATATATATATATATATATATATATATGTGTGTGTGTGTGTACGTGTGTGTGTGTATTCTGTTGCCACTGTACAGTACATCTGTTTTTACTTTCCACTAGTTCGTCCACTAGGTATATTTTAGATTAGTTAACGCTTTGACCACTTCCTGTTTAGTCTTTAGTAATGACTGGTTACCGCACAATAAACAACAGGGTCAAAGAACGCGCTTCCTACTTTCTTATCTAACCTAATTCTGACCACAAACGATGGCATCACCGCTATGCAAGCACCGGTCTCCTTTTATTATTATTTCAACATTTAACCACTTTGTATACATACATTTTTTACTGCTGTAATTCATCATGTTTTGACAGTTCACTGTGTCACACTGTAAATTCATGTAACTCTCTACCTTTCTGTAGACCTATTATTGTAAACTTTCTAACATATTCCTGTAAGCAAACTACTTGCTAGCTTCTTTACACATTTAAACCCTATGTCGCAAAGATATGCTCAGCATTCCGCCCTTTTGTCATATTTCTTATTTCCCTGCTTTTCATCTTTTTATTTTCTTATTCTAGCTAAACTAATTTCAAGTTTGTATGGCTTTTTCTAGTTTCCCCACTTTGACTTTCAATAAAGCAAATTATGAATAGGAGTTTGTCTTCAGAGTTTTAATAGCCTTAAGGCGTTTATCGGGCCGTCTGATATACGCACGCGAGCGAGACAGACGCTTATCAGTAGGTAGTACAATATATATATATATATATATATATATATATATATATATGTATTGTTAATGCATGTTTCATTAAATAATATAGTTTTGTCTATTCATTTTAAGTAAGTTCCTTTCATATTGTCTGATAAGCTTAATCACATTAATCGCGTCTCGTATATACGAGTTTGTCGTTACTTGAAATTTTCATGCAGCAAGGGCGGACTATCATTGTTGTTTGATTTATTGAAATTGTCATCTTTGATAATGGCTTATGTAAGCCGAAAGCTTAGATTGGATTTAAACACGTATCAATATGATGATTTCCTTTCGTCTTTCAATGATAATGTTATTAAGCTTATCAGACAATATGAAAGGAACTTACTTAAGATAAATAGACAAAACTTGTCTATATTATTTAATGAAACATGTATTAATGAAAAATTGCTGCATAAATATGCACAATATATATATATATATATATATATATATATATATATATGTCATTCGCAGACAGTACTTTTTCGTTGTATCACAGCTCCTCAGTGCGACTAGACATCCGAATGGCTCAAGTTGAGATAGAAACCCAATCAGAGCTTCTACCACTGAGCTATCTTCACTCGGCAGAGTCACACAGCTAAATCTATCATATTGTTTTTACGAATGTAAACAAATGCCAATCAGCCAAAGTGCTCCATTTATTTTAATGAAGAGCTTTGCATTAGCGCAGGTAGCTGATGTTTATAGAATTAGCTTATCGTTCAACAGTGATCAATTGAAATATATTTTCAAGAGCTGAATTATGTCATTTGCAGACAGTACTGTTTTGCTGTATCACAGCTCCTTAGTGTGATATATATATATATAAAGTATAGACATTGTATGTATATTAAATTTCACTATATTTTTTAAAATTGCAAAAAATATCCCATATCAAGATCTTTTTATATGTATTTATTATCATAACGGTTATAAATTGCCCCACCGTATTCTTAATTTTCCTGCATTTTATCTTTTTATTTTCTTATTCTAACTAAACTAATCTCAAGTTTGTATTGCTTTTTCTACCTAAAGCCCGCCAGGTATTAATGGCCTGGTTGGATGTACCCGGTACAGGGATATTTGCTTACTAACATCAGGCTAGAAGAATTCTTAATACCTAAACTATAAAAGTGAATGTTCTGAAAGATATAAATTTACTGCCAGTTTAATCCAAAAAGTTAGATTAATCTCCTCATCTAAAATATTTTTTAAACTAAATAACATAGAACAAACAATTATTATCCATGTCTTCTCTAACTATATAGTTGACTATCAAATTAGACTTAACTTATAGTTGTAGAGACAAAAGCGTTATATGATAGCTGGTGAAAGACATCAGTTCATAGGTTGACGAAAACCAGTTGCTTTTTATCCCACCTGGAGATAAGACAAGTCGGCCCAAGATGTAGCCTACGAATAAGATAGATATAAGAAGCCCGCAATAGTAGGGTGAATAGAGGAACCCACAAGCTCTGAATTGGCACATAAGAAACTTCATCGACATGCTCTTTCTCCCGTTCGGAAATATAAAACGTAAGGCCCTTTCTCTTTTCGCCCTTTTCCCGCTGCTTGTTGGATACATATGTCATAGTTTCTCTGCGTGAGACAAATTAGTGATAAGTATGTATATATTGGTATACAGCATCTCTTTGCGGACCATTCATATTTATCATTCCTTTCTTTCAGCTATTCTGTTCCAGCCATTAAGGTGTTATTATATGACGGGCGACCACATCTTCGCTTCAAGGACGTCTGCAAATGTGACATGAAGGCGACGGACATTGAGAGGTGGGAAGATGTCGCCAACGATCGCTCACGATCGAGAAGCGATTTACACCGAGGTCCGGAACGAGGGGAGAGAGAATGGAGGGTTGTTGCTGGGGAGAAGCCTGCTCGAAAGATAGAAAACAACACAGCGACATTCGGAAGAGCAATCGAAATTGGCACACCTGTGTGGACCTGAACAGCCATAACAGATGTTGTGCCACCACCAGCAGATGAGGCATAACTTTTTGGGCGCAGATCCAGAGTTTTTCGACACGGACGGATGCCACACACACACACACACACACACACACACACACACACACACATATATATATGTATAATTAACCAAAATGTTGGAAAAAATGAGCTTGCAATTTCACAAAAACGACTGCAAAATAAATAAACATTAAATGGTTAAATAAAATAAAACGAAAAGCAATAAACACAAAACTAACACAAAAATTGACAAAGAATGGAGAAGGCAACATAAATAGAAAAGAAAAGAAAAAACAGACCAAAAGACAGACACCGGAACCCGCAATAGACAGACACCGACCTCTGAAATGGACAGACACTGACCCCCTGCAACAGACAGACACCGACACTCGCAATAGACAGACACCGACCTCTGAAATGGACAGACATTACATCCTGCAAAAGACAGACATCGACCCGCGAAATAGACAGACACCGACACCCGTAATAGACAGACACCGACCTCTGAAATGGACCTTCTGCAACAGACAGACACCGACCCTCGCAATAGACAGATACCGACTACTGAAATGAACAGGAACTGACCCCTTCAACAGACAGACACCGACACCCGCAATAGACAAACACCGACCTGTGAAAGGGACAGGCAGTGGCCCCTCCAACAGACAATCTCCGACACGCGCAATAGACAGACATCAACCTCGGAAATTGACAAACACTGATTTCCTGCAACGGACGGACACCGACACCCGCAATAGACAGACAACGACCTCTGAAATGGACCGACTCTGACCCCCTTCAACAAACTGACACCAACACCCGCAATAGACAAAGACCGACTACTGCAATAAACAGACACCTACCCCTGCAATAGACAGACACTGACTCCTACAATAGACTGACACCTACTCTTGCCATAGTCAGACACTTACCCCCGCAATAGACAGGCATTTACCTCGTCAATAGACAGACACCGACCTCCATAATAGACAGACACCGATCTCTGAAATAGACAGACGTCGACCCCTGCAATAGACAGACTCTGACTCCTACAATAGACAAGACACCTACCCTCGCAAAAGACAGCATTTCCCCCTGCTAGAGATGGACAACGGCCCCTACAATAAACAGATATCTACCCCTGCAATAGCCAGACACTGACTTCTGCAATAGACAGACACTGACCCCTGCAATAATGCACTGTGCTCAGTATCTAGATAGAAACGACCAAGAAAGAGCAAGCACATTCACCAGCGACACTGCACAAAAATTAAACCAAGTTCAAATTGCTAGTCAGTTTCTCCCATCCGCGATTATCAGGCGAGCAGAAAGTCACATGACGATCGATAATGTAACAGTCTGTAATAATGAAAATCTGAATTTTCTTGTTGTTTATTTCTCAAAATAATAAAATTATGAAATCCCACGTAACAAATAGGAAAATTAACAACGACTAAAATGTGTAAAGATTTCGAAATCTATTTATTTATTTTGTTGAATAAAGAATATGGACTATTGTGTCGTATTTTGATTGGACATTTATTTCATGATAAATACAAGATATTTTATTTGTAATAATGATTGTGTTGGTTGACGTAATAGAAGAAGAAATAGAATAAAATACTGCAAAGAAGAAGGAAGAAAAATAAGTAGGGACTCTTTACAAAAGAAGGAAAATAAACGTTGAAGAAGAGGAAAGCTATTTTAAGCGTATTTCTAATAATAATAATAATAATAATAATAATAATAATAAGTTTATGCAAGCTTTTTATTTTTGCATCTTAGACGAGTAAATGTTGCAGACTCATTTACTCTTTCTATTTGGCTTATGGAAAGTAAATCATGATTTGAAATCAAAATGTTTATTTTGCTCACGAAATCCTCGTAAAATAATTCTTTATCATTTCCCAGCAGGGCAAATGCAAGGCGAACATCATAACAGAAGCAATACAGATAAATAATCCATTAAATAAGCCGGTATATTTTTATTTTCCAAGTTTGGATTAAGATAATATTTTTATGTTTTTCCCTATTTTATCATCTGTCAGACATAAACAAACTGAATTTCGCACAACATCGATAAGTAATTCTTTTTCTTTGTCAAATGAATGCATTTACTTTTTCAAAATATTCACAATACTTTCAGTTTCTTATATAAATATATGTGTGTCGGTACATGAAAGATTCCGGGTTCGTATATGTGTGTTCATCATAAAGAATGTTTCACACACACACACACACACACACACACACACACACACACACACACACACACACACACACACACACACACACTGATTCATATGAAGTGCTGATTTATATAAGCCCCCGAACTATATATAATAATAGTAATAATAATAATAATACCCACTAAGAAATAATAAATATACTTTGGGGAGACAAAAGTGTTCAATGTTTAATAGCAGAACAATTATTATTATTATTATTATTATCATTATTATTATTATTATTATTATTATTATTATTATTATTTCCTTTCATTTCTGTTGCATACTCATTCCTTTTCGGGTCCCGACCAGAGACCTCAGTTCACAAATGGCATCGTGGCTTTTTTCACTGAGCAGTTTTAGAAAAAAAGAATCACACATATTTTACATAGATAAAGCCCTTCGTAAGGTGTGGGCTGTACTTGTGAGTATTTTTTTTTGCATTTCTTTAAGGAATGAACTACCAGAGATTCTTTCAATGAGTCTGTTGGAATTTTTTCCAACCAATCCGAGGGTTCCAACTACAATTGGAATTATTAATGTCCTCATGCGCCATATTTTTGTGATTTCGATTTCAAGTTCTTTGTATTTTGATAGTTTTTTGAAGATCTTCAAATATACATTGCAGTCTGCAAGGACTGCCATGTCAATAAGGAAGCACATTTTGCCTTTACTGTCTCTAATCACGATGTCAGGGCGATTAGCTTTGATTGTTCTGTCTGTGTAAAGTCCCATAAAATTGTTATTATTATTATTATTATTATTATTATTATTATTATTATTATTATTATTATCTATAGGAAACTTTTCTCCAACTATCGGCATTCTACCGGATATCCTATCTTGAGACACCGGTTATCGTCCGATCAATGAAATTAAGCAACGTCAAGTCTGATCAGTATCTAGATGGGTGGCCGTTTAGAAATATCAGTTATTGTATACTTGAATGAGCCAAGTTCCAATTCCAATCAGGTTCGTTATATCCACTTACGCGCAAATACTATTAGTATAGTTATGAATACGCATCTTATCCCCCAGATATGGGTTAAATAGTAGGACTATCATTTCAAAAATATTCTTTCCTGGCTTTAAATAACCTACAAAAGGTTGATAAGCTGTAAAAAAATAAATAAAATAAATCAGTCATTCCAACGACTGGTGTGTACTTCATTTTTACATTTTGTACATAATCATTAGATGTAATGGCGGCTTTAAATAACCCACAGGGCTACCCAGAAGTTAAGTTTTGGGATCACTCTGGTGGCTATTTACAGCCGCCATTGATACATTAGCGTTGACCACCTGAGGATATTTTTTAAGCAAATAACCCCAAGCAAGAGAGTGAGAGAAAGAGTAAAGACGAGAGTTTTGGAAAACGATAAAGAGAAGGACAGGGATCAAGGTCAAGGCACCAGAAGATTTGAATATTTGAAGATTATCGCTATCAAGGAAACAAGTGATATGGAGTTCCAATGACAAAATATGCACATGGAAATGAGTAGAGGCCGACAACCATGGGAGACAACTTTCAAATAAATGATAATAATATTAATATTAAGAATTATCTATCTATCTATCTATCTATCTATCTATCTATCTATCTATTGTGTACATATAAACAAAACTGCTCTCATTTAACCACCATAGAAAACTGCCTGCCATCAGTATGGCTGACGCTAGGCTCCTATGCCATCTTGGCTTCATGTTTTAAGTGACTTGAAGTGGAATGCCTACATCAAATTAATTGCTGCATCTATCGTAAGGAAAGTTAGGGCATTGTCTTGTGCCAGACAATTTTTCTTGTCAGAATCCATCTTACATGTTTACAAATCTACCATTCGACCGTGCATTGAATATTGCTGACATATCTGGTCTGGTGTTCCTGCTCTTCATCTCGAGGTTCTTGAAAAATCCAAAGAAAAATCTGCAATATAATCTATCCTGACCTGGCATCGCGATTTCAGTCACTTTCTCACCGACGTAGCGTGGCTTCCCTTTGCATTTTCTACAAATATTTTCATGGCAACTGCTCTGACGGAGTTTTTTCCTTGGTGTCCCGAATATCTGAATTTAAGCGTGCTACTGGATTGGTATCTAGGTCCCACCCATTTAATGTTGAAATAGCTAGATGCAACTTCTACTCCAACAGTTTATTTTCTCACACTTCTCGCCTGTGGAACTCCCTTCTGTTTACTTTCTTCCTTGATAAATACAATCTTCAATAATTTAAATGCAACATCAAGCGCCATCTGTTTTCCTGAATCCCGTTCATCTTTTTTTTTCTCAATTCTCCCTATACTCAGTCTTCTCTTTCACTTTCACTCACTGTAACACCACCCTGTGTACTAGTGGAATTTTCGACTTGCCTAAGAGGAAATGATTAAAAAAAGAAAAACAATGACATGAATCAACACTGCTTGGTGACTATCATTTTCACCGTTCTGTGTGATCTTCGAAAATCGGTGCGAAGATCAAACCTGAAACTAGCAGTCAACTTAAACGCTCTAAGGATCTGGCTAGATGCACATATATGAACAAAGAAGTAGAGACACAAGATACTCGGGTGGCAGGAAGTTAAATTTCCAACCAACGATGGGGGAGGAGAGGAGAGAATCCTTCACATATTTGCAAGAAAGACAAGGAACCAATATACTCTCTATTCAGTTGACGTTAATTTTGAGTCAAGACGTAAGAAACAATTATTTAATCTATGAAAAATGTATTTCTGTATTTTAATCAAATGTTCATAACATTACAATTTAAAAAAAAATTCACCTCCAAGTAAGGCGATAATGCTACTAAGACGCAAGTGGGTTACTGGGAGTGGAAGAGAATGAGAAAACTTTAGTGAGAAGAAAGGACAATAAAAACTGCTATCCTTTAATCATCATAGAGATTTTTTTTATCTCTATCAGCATGGCTGATGCTATTCTCCAGGAGGACAAATCATTTCCACTTCTTGGTCTCACGTTTTCTACTGATATGAAGTAGAGCGTATATTAAATTAATTGCAAGGAATTCGGCTAAGAAGGTTGGTTTACTGTGTCGTGCTAGACAATCTTTCTCGTCGCATTTATAAATCTACCATTCGTCTGAGTATTACATATTTCTGCTATATCTGGTCTGGTGCCTCGCCGATATATCGCGAGATTCTAGACAAAATCCAAAAAAGGTCTGTCATGTTATCAGTACTGACCTGGCATCTCGAATTCATTCACTTTTCAACCGCCATGACGTGGTTTCCTTCTGTCTTTTTTTTTTATAAATATTTTCATCGTAGTTGTTGTAATGGCCTCTCCACCTTGGAATCTCGACTGCCTGACTGCATACTATTATACTGACAACTAGGTCTCATTTGTTTTCTTTTACTGTTGCAACAGCTAGATGTAACCTTACGTTCTATACTAATAGTATCTTTTTTCGTACTTCTCAACTGTGGATTTCGATCATAACAGATGCCTCTTTGTATCCGCTCGTAATGAGTGTAAGCATGTCCTCAACGAGGCAAAGTTGCTATTCGCTGATATAATGAGACACCGTATAGCCTCTCTCAACCTTGCTTCTATATATTACTATCAGTTCTGTACGAGTGTGTTGAACAAAAGTAAATCCCCAATCCCATTTCTCTTCAAGTAGTTTGAAGTATTGTCATCTACTGCAGATAAAGTAGAATGCTTTGCACGTAAATTCTCTTCCAATTCCATTCTCGACTCATCTCGAGTATCTTTGCTTGATTTTCCCTCTCGAAAGGAACGTTTACTGAGTAATATGAATATAACTCCTGTCGGAATTTTTGGGTACCCTGGTGGCCAGCCAAAATGAGCTGACTCGTTTTATAGTTCACCAATAGAAGGGTTAACC